AAAAATAAAGTGTCATTACTGTAGTGGAGCTCTGTACATTTCTCCTGAATGTTTTTCTAAACTGCAAGGATGATGTGGCCTCCCTGTTGGCGCAGGGGTTAAAGTCTCCGCCTTATCAAGCTTTTGCTAGCCACTAAGCCTGGCTGGGGAGCTGAGCCACATTTGGCACAATGACCTCTCCTGCCTCACGCTGCTTCCCCTCAGCAATGTATTTCAGTAGATCTGTCCTGCTTCCTCCCTCTCAGTCTCTGGTGAGTCCTCTCACGGACCCCCTCCCCTCCCCCCCACTGCCCCTAACACACCTATGACCTCTACCCCAGTTCTTAGATTCAAAAATAAATAAAAATAAATCTAAAAAAAAACTGCAATGATGTCAAACCTGGATGTCCACACAGGTCCAATGGGAACCCATGAAGGCCTTTGAGAATGAGGCATGACTGGTATGCACAAGCCCAGAGATGTCATTTTCAATCTTTTCTTTAAAGTATGTAACCACGCAGTTTTAAAGTCAACATGTGAAGCAATTTTTTTTTTTAAATTGAGATACTGGTGAGTCATATCCATCTGTAAGAAATAATGGGGATAATGGGGAGAGAATCTTGCACATCTCTCCCAATCTCCCCCAACGGCAACATTTAACAAGTTATTGTATAATATCATAGCTTACATGTATTTATTTGTGCATGTTTGTATGTAATGTTTAGGCCTGTTATATATGTGTATTTATATAAATGTGTATTGGGCAGGGAGCTGCTGCTGCTGCTGCTTTGCAAAGGGAAAAGTTTTGTGAAAAGAACAAGCTGCAGAATCGCCGTAGGCAGGAAGCTGCCGGCAGTGATATTTGAACTGACAACAAAGAGTCAACCATACAAAGATGGGCAGAGTCATAGGCAAGAAGGACACATGTCCAAACAGTGTACGGGAGGAATTGAAAGTCAGAGAAACCAGGGATGCTTTGTCCTCATATCGCTCCAACATCCAGCACCTTCTCCTCACATTCAACTGCTGGTTGTTTCTTACTTCACTGAAAACATAAAACCAATAACTCCCATGAGTTCTTTTTGCTACATGTACCATCATCCCTCCTTTCATAAACATGTTTTTTTTTTCTACTTAACCAGTTCTTTTACCACTAGTGGAGTCCAAACTGCCATCTTATCTGGCTTGCCTTCTTGCCTTCCAGCTGATTCCCCTACCTCTTGAATCTGACCAAAGCAGCCATAAATTCTTTAAAAAAAAA